TTAAGTGGAAAGTCTAAGAAGAATAACAATATACATTTAAAGACAGAAAATCATAATAATAAATAAATCCAAACACTAGGGATTTTCTAAAGGAGAAAAATACTCTCAGCAACTCTAGTCAAGGAATGTTAGAACTAAGAAAAATAAGAAATGGTAAATTTAATAGAAAGGAGATTAATTCCTTTTAGAATTCTCTAATAGCTGTTTAAATTTCAACAAAATGAAAGTTTTCTAGAAAATTTGCATATAGATAAACATGTTAATATTAGAACATCTTAAATTTTCATTTCACTTAGAAGTTAAAAATTTAACTCGAAAGTTAAAAAAACTATTTTTAAATACTAAATTTTAAAATACCTAACATTCCAAAACTCACAGAAGAAACTGGCAAATTTTTTATTATTAATTTCAATGAAAATTTACAGAGACTCTGGATTTCCATTCATTCATTGTTGCACTTTTATCCCCTCCCAACCCTCCCCCCTAGTACACTAGCCTCTTGGAAAAGTAAAAGAAAAATTCTTTCATTGTTTTACAAACCTTCCCCCAGGTCCACTCCACTATGCAGCCTTCACTCTGGACTCCCGTTATGACTAAAATACCTAATCACATGTCCCTTTTAAACAGTTTTCTCCCTCATCTGTTTCAACGCAGTATACATTATTAAGCCCATCTTTCTCAGTCACTCCCCAACCCCAAGGTCAGTCCTGCTTTACAACAGTGGATTTTAAAGGATTTTAAAATCCTTTAAAACAGGATTTGTCCTTTTGTGACTGAGATACTTCACTCAGCATAATGTCCTCTAGGGTCACCCATTTTGTGTATTTCATGAGTTCCTTGTTTTTCAATGCAGCATAGTATTCCATTGTGTGAATATACCAGAGCTTCTCTATCCATTCGTTTGTTGATGGGCACTTAGGTTGTTTCCGACTCCTTGCTATTGTGAACAAAGCTGCAATAAACATGGGTGTGCACATATCTGCTTGGATGTCAGTTATGGTCTCTTTGGGGTATATTCCCAGTAGTGGAATTGCTGGGTCAAATGGTATCTCTATATGCAACTTTTTGAGAAACTGGCAATTTTTATCAAAAAATTATTCTCCAAAAGGGCTCCAATTCAAAAATTTGACATTCCTTCAACTTTCAAGGCACTTTTATGTTATCATTACTTAACACAGGAAAACACAAACAAAAAACCCACAACCCAACCCATTTAGTTAAATCCCAATGTCAAAATGTGTACAGCAGTGGCCCAAAATATTTCACTCCTGTAAACAGGCAAAATTTTTCTCATTGCTGCGCACCCCAAAGCGGCAGCTCCAGCTGCACCTGCAGGGGGCTCCTGAGGCCATGCAGCACAGAGCAGCCTGCCCACCTTTCTCTGGAGCCACCTTTAGATTAGCACCGTGGTTCCCTGTAGCTATGCCACCAGAGCGTCCTCCAAAGAAAGATGAGGCTCATCAAGATTTATAGCCTTGAAAATCGATACAGAGAACCAGTATCAATGGTAATGGGGGGTTTTGGAGGGATTTTGTCAGGTATGTCTATTATAAATAGTCAACAAAACCACACTCAAGAAGGAGGACAGAAACAACACTGAACTTTATACTGCACTGACAAAGGATGGGTGAGCTCTGATGGCCTAGTGGGTAAGGAGACACAGTGTCAACTCAAAGGCCAGTGGTTCGCATCCATAAAGAGTTGTGTTGCTAACAGCCCATACTTTTCAAATGGTTTGAATGCACCAGTGACGGCAGGGGGAAATGATGGGCAATATCCTTCCAGGCAATATACAGCTTCTGAAAACTCACTGAAGGGTCAGCTGGGAGTGGATTCTGACTGGACAGCATGTCACATGCACACACAACACACACACCACCACCCCCAAACGTTGTCTGCTTCCCAGTTAAAATGACACAGCTCTGTCACAAAGCATCAGCTGTTTGCAGGACATTAAAACTGCCAGGTTTGAAATGAATTGATTATTCTTTTGTTTTTTTAAGCCTAGAAATATGCACATTACTCCAAATTTTGAGTACAAATTGAGTTTGTGTTAATAATCAGCTCCTTTAAATCTAGATACAATTCGTCTACATGAAATGCAACTGGTAGATTCAAACTACTAGAAGTGTGGCCTTTGAACTGGTCCTAACTCCCTAAGGATTATGCCTCCCTGCACAATTCAAAGACATTACTCTTTTCAAAGTCGTCCTTACTTACTGTTCACTTTCACAAACATGTTGTTGTTGTTGTTGATTGCCTTTGAGTCAAGCACAAGTCATAGTGACCCTATGAACAAAAGGCCTGAAAAGCTCCTCTATAACTATCGGTATTTATCAGTTTCTGGAGGCATGTTGTTTAGGAAGTGGATGCCATTCCTGCTTCCAAATCTGTCATAGTATGTGATTATAGTTATGTGCCATTAAGTCACCTGCGATGTATATAGTGAGCCTATGTACAGCAGCTCTGAACCCTTCCGTCCTGAGCCAGTCTCACTAATTTCGACACACCAACCGCATCGCCCCAGTCACTGTATCAATCTATCTCATCGGGGGTCTCCCTCTCCTGCGCTGTCTTGTCCACTCTTCCAAGCATGATGTCCTTCTCCAAGGACCGATCTTTCCTGGCCATGTGCCCAAAGTGAGACGGAGCTTCAAAATCCTAGCCTCCAAGGAGAGACTTGGTTTCACCCTCTCAAAGATAGACCTATTTGGTTTTTTGGCAGTATGTTCAAGACTCTTCTCCAGCACCACAACTCGAAAGCATCTGAGGCAAGTGAAAATGTCAGGTAAACCTTGGTCCTCAAAGTGAAATCCTTGCTCTTCGTCATTTTAAAGAGGCCCTTGGCAGATCTGCCCAATGTCATTTGGTTTCTTGACCACATTGTGGATCCAAGTAAAATAAAATCTTTTTAAGACTTTCAAATTTTTCTCTATTTATCAAGATGTTGCTTACAGGTTGTGATGATTTTGTTTTCTTAATATTGAAGATAATTAAGCTAGAGGTTAGTGTCTCTGGCTTTTGTCAAATGTTCATTTTGTTTGTATGTTTGACACTAGCAAGGTTGTGTCATCTGCATATTGCTGGTTGTTAAGCAGTCTTCCTCCAAACTTGATGCCATGGTTTGTTGTTTTTTCTCTCAGCATACAAACTGAATTAAGTATGTTGAAAAAGATACATCGCCATACAGCTTTCCTGATTTTATCTTACACAGCATCCCCTTTTTCTGGTCAATTGACTGGTTCATGGACTGTGGACAGCTTCCACATGAGCACAAGGTTCTTCATTCAATTCTTCAAAATGTTAGCCAGAGTCCAAGGTTATCTTAAACGCTGCCTCCTCAGAGTTCAATTGCTCAATCTAAGGTTTCTACCCAGGTACTCTCTCACATCAACCTACCTTCATTTCCTCTACAGAATCTAAAATCCCAATATGGTCCTTTTCCCTTTTATGTATGTTAGTGTCTCCCCTCTCAGCCCCACCACAGTCTACCTCAACATCATCTCCATGAGGGCAAGAATTTCATGTGTCTTAACTGCCCATCTCCAATTCCTCAGTGTGTACCCGGCACATCAGACTCATTTAATACACATTTGCATTTTGTCTGTCATTCCCACAGGCCAGAACTATGGCGGCTTTACTTCCTAGTCAATCTCTAGGACTCAGGCACTGGGTATATAGTCACTAAATGAATCCTTTCTTGTTTTCCTTTCAGGCCCTAGCATTCTAAGACTGAACAAATGCTTCCGGTGAGCCCTATACATTGCCGGCTTGTATGAAATCTCCTAAATCATTTCCTATCAACTGTATACTTTTATCCATTCCCCAAATCATACACTTGGATGACTGACTTAAATGAAATGCAGAGCTTTAATAAAGTTTGATGACTCTTAAAATTTACCTATAAAAACAAAACCACTACCGCAAAAATAGCAAGTTGAGAAATATTAAACTTTTTGAGTCCTAATCTATAAACTAAGTAGCCAGATAGGGAAGAGATGCTACCTAATAGGATCCAAGTACCCTCACTTCTTGGAAGTGCACCTTACGCCATTTTCATTTTATCTGGTTTTGCTCTGGGAGGGAGCAGTGTAAGGGGATCGAACATTCAGCATGTATAAGAGGTTAAGGAGACGACACGCACCCTCAACAACAAGGGCGGTGTCACCAGCCTCCTCAGTAGGAATTACACTCAGTATCTCAGTTTAAAGCCACCCATAACTTTGAACTTTGCCAATGAACAACTGTGTTGTTTTAGAGTTTTTATGCTATTTTGTAAGCTATCTTTTGGGTTTGAGAACACTCAACTATTTTTTCCACATAATCAACCATTTGTTTGCTTTAGACCATTTAAATTTATAAAAGGTTCCATAGGAACATTCTCCTTTCATATAGCACAAGAAGCCTAGGCTGGGGTTGTGGGGTGGTAGAATTGAGATATTAAAAAGATAATCTTGTCAATGTATGTATACAGATATCACCAGGCTATATGCTCAAATGGTTAAAAAAAAGCCACAAAAGTATTGCCTCTCAACGATGTAAGTTGATCACTGTATTGATTTCCCTAGGGTTACTCATTAAATATGACACACAGCATGTATTAGCTGGCTTATGAGCACTGTAAGTATCCGATTACCTGAAACAACAAAAGGCTACATTCTCAATTTTTCATGTTTTGGTTTTATTCATGAGATTACTCACAGGCAACAGTTTAAAACTGGGCTTTTTTTTTTTTTTTAATGAAAAGCCAACATTTAAAAATTTTGCAAATATGACACTTCTTAGAACAATGTTCATCTTAATAATTTAAACCCTAAAATGTCCTGTGGAGTTAAGAGTCTTTATACACAGAATTTGTAAGATGGATATCATTTAAAATAAACAACAGGAAAACCACAGATTGTGGGCAAATTTGTCAATGAAGATAAACTTAAGTTTCAGCCTTCCAGAGCAGGAAAACCAGCAATTAATTCATCCTGTGACAAATTGTAAACTGTGCTTCAGAATTTTGACTTTAAATTCTCTTTCTCCAGCAGCAAATCAGCATATCTATTTTGAAGCTCCTTTTCTCTGTCTTGCTGTCGCTGAACATCTTCTTTTAGACACTTGAAGAGATAAAAATATAAATATTAAATGATCATTTCATAGGTAAATTTAATAAAAAAATTAAAAACACATTATGGCATTTTACTATCTGGCAAACAATTAACTGGGTCATGACCCTTTAAGAGGTAAATCTTTCGCAAAGAGAAATAAAATACTGCTATAAAACCAGTACTACGGCCATACTTTGAGCACAGCATTAAGACTACTCTCTTGTATCCACCAGATGCTCTGCTGGAGAAGATGGGACAATCTCCTCCTGTACCAGTCAGATCCGATTTGACAATACACACACACATACACAAATAACAATTTAAAAAAACATTTAAGATAGTAATATCTATCTTGTAAAAATCTCTGCTGCTATCTCAAATAAATAAGTCCTCATTGTTATCAATACCCACAAATGCATTTCAAATCATCCCTGACCGCCCTGTGTTTGGGCAAAAGCTATCACAGAGTACATCTGTGTCACGCACACTTGAGGTTAAGTCTGAATACATTCGTCCCAGACTCGCTGAAGGAATCTGATTCTCTAGAATAACTAGCTCTCTGTTTCCAGTATCCTATGTTATAAAGCAAAAAGAGTTATTTTAATTTACCTCAGAAAGTAGCAACAATGGGATGCAATTAAATTTCAGGGGGATAAACCACAAGAATTTGTTTTACATCTATATATGAAACGAGAAAAGGAATAATCTTTATAGCTTCATATCCACATATGCTCAGGCAATTCTAGACTGGGAAGTAAAAAAATTCCTAAAGCTTATACTGAAAAAATCCTAATCATATCAACTTCAGATATAGCTTTGTGGCATGGGGGGGGGGGAGGATAAAAGGACTGATATTTACAACATTCATTCTAAGCAATGCTGTAAAACAATAAAACGTAATGTTACCTCCAACCTCCGGGGAATAGCAGAATCTTCATGTTTTTTCAATTCTTCAAAAGTGCGTAGCTCCAGGTAAGCCTGCTCGATTTGGTCCCATAAGTCATTCCACTGTTTCATGAGCCCCATAGCACGAGACTGATAACCTCCAAGCAAAATTTTCATCTTCTTTTCCATTTTTGCTGCTCTCTTGGCTTCTGTGGTCATGTGGCCTCTGTTTATCTGGGGTTTGGGGAAAGGCACATCAACACATATGAGAAAGGCAGGCTACATGATAGGGTTAAAAAAAAAGATGAACCACTGGGTCATCTCTATTCTGCAAGACTAACATACACTATAGATCTTTGTACCTCAACACACATAGCACAAAATTAGGCTTAAGAGTTTTTGTCCTCTGTTATAAAACAGGATTGACATCAGGGTTGGGGGGACACTGAGAAAGATGGGATAAATAATGTATACTGTATGGAAACAGATTAGGGAGAAAACTGTTTAAAAAGGATATGTGATTAGGTCTTTTTGTCATGACGGGAGTCCAGAACGAAGGCCGCATAGTGGAGTGGACTTGGGGTGAGGGATTGTAAAACAATGAAATAATTTTTCTTTCTCTTTTCAAAGAGAAGAGTATACTGGGGGGCGGGGGGAGGGCAGGGAGAAAAGTGCAACAACGAATGAATGGAAATCCAGTCTCCATAAATTTTCATTAAAATTAATTAAAAAAAAAAACAGGAAAAAAAAGTTTTGTCCTGCATCCTGCATCTACAGAGTTTTATACTCTACTCATTTCCATCAAGTCAGAACCAGCCCACAGCTGACACTCCAGGCCATTTTCAGAGGTTGTAAATCACACAGAAGGAGACTGCCCATCTTTCTCTTGGATTCTAGCCGCCAGAGATTCCAACTCCTACACACTAGTTCCAAAAACTATCTTTATAACTTTACCCATGATTCAATCCCAAGAAGGTTTGATTTCGAAGTACAGGAATAATTTCTCCTTATATTCTGAAAATGGTTTCCACTACTATTCATACAATCCTTTCTCAACTAGAATTCAAAAATTTACTTTTGCCATATAAATCTAGTACATTAAGTAATATTCCATCTACTTAACATGTCAAAGTTCTGAATAAGCTAGAATTCCTTTAAAACTATTAAAATTGATGGATTCTTTTAATTACTAGGAAGCTGCACTGCAGTCCCAAAGGCACATGGTTCAAATCCACCAGTTGCTCCACGGAAGACAGCTGGGCAATCTTTTGTGTGATTTACTGCCTCTGAAAACCCACTGGAAGTTCAAAAGTTCCGACTCAAAAGCAGACAACAATAGCAATTATCTTAAATGAAAAGCATTATAAGTGATTATTAATTTTAAAAGCATTCAGGATGGAAAAACTCTGTTTTACTCCAACATTACAAAAGATGACATCAACCAAGCTTAGTCTTCATTCCTAGTAAGTGAGTGAATCACCAAATCCACAGGTTCCATCAACCTCCTTGTACTACAGTACAATACAACACACTGGACACTCACGATCACATGTGGACTAAAAAACACAATCCAAAAACCTAAACAACATACAATTTAAGCCTATAGTGCTTTCTCAAAATTGGTCACATAAACTATCATTTTTACTGGTTAAGAAAATTCAATTAACTATACTATTGTTGTTATTATGTGTCATCGAGTCGCTTGAGACTCATAGCGACCCTATGTACAAGAGGCCTAAACACCGTTTTATCCTGTGCCAACCTCGCCGTCTCAAACACACTCATTCCCACCACCCCAATCACAGATATGATCCATCTCATTGAGGGTCTTCCTCTCCTGCACTGTCCTTCCATTCTCCCAAACATGATGTCCCTCTTCAAAGACCAGTCCTTCCTTGCAACATGCCAAAGTACATCAGACGAAGCTTCAGAATCCTTGACCCCAAGGAGCCTTCTGGCTTCACCCTCTCTAGGACAAACCTGTTTGTTCTTCTAGCAGTCCATGGTATATTCAACACTCCTCCAGCACCACAGCTCAAAGGCATCAATTCTCTTCCTATCATCCCTATTCACTGTCTAACTCTCCGATGCTTGGCACGTAATTGTGAAGACTACAGTCTAGATCAGGCACACCTTAGTCTCCAGCCTGATGTCGCTGCTCTTCAGTACTCTTGAGAGGTCGCTGACTTTCCCAATGCAATTCATCTCCTGATTTCCTGGCTGCTGTTACCAAGAGTGTTAACTATGGAACCAAGTAAACTATACTTTATGTATATTCAATTTCCAATTTGGTGAAAACCCTATACAGAATACCCATGCTCAGAGAGTACTACATTAGTAATCAAGGCATATTTCATCTTACTGAGGGAGCCCTGACAGCACAGTCTGCAGGGAGCTGCACTGTTAACCCAGAGGCAGCAACTCTGGTTGTTCAAATCCACCAGTGGCTCCAAAGGATGAAGACGAGCAGTCTTCAGCCTTGGACACCCACTACAGGGTCAGCCATGAGTTGGTTCTGACCTGATAGCAATGATTTGAGTTTTTTATCTTGGAAGGATATTCTGGTGGTCTTGTTCACACAGAGCTGCGCTGTCAACCTAAAGGCTACATCTCTCTGAGAGTTCAAATTCATCAATGGCTCAGAGCGAGAAAGATGAGCCAGCTCCTCTCATGTCATTTTCAGCCTTGGAAACCTGTGTGGAGGGTCAGCTATAAGTCAGCTCAGACTTGCTAGCAATGAGTCCATCTGGCAATGACCTCATTTCAAACATACAGTTCAGTTGTTTACTATTCCTAAATCACTAGGGACTTTTTAAACATCAAAGGTGCTAGTTTTCCACTTAATGCCAACAATCTTACTTAATTTAACTCAAGCTTTTTTTTTTTTTAAAGTCTCTTGGCTCAAATAGCGTGCTAAGTTTCCAAGGAAAGAGGGAAATAAAATTACAGGCAAAAAATATTTTAAGTACAGGAAAAAACTAATTTAGTAAAGTAACTATATAAAGTTAGCCTTTACAAATACAACAAAGAAACTGATAACAGTTTTTAATATAAATTTTTATCTTCTCTGTGACATCTATAAAACTATGGAGGAAGACATTGATATGTTTTGCAAAATCTTCAACCTATGAGGTAGTCCAATATATTTTCAAAACTCTGTATATAATTAATATACTTTAGGAGGAAAACACCAATCTATAAATTCTGATCTTTTCCTAGTCAACAATTCTCAAACACAAATGTACATGCACATATGGGGCAAAGTACTTTACATCAGGCCCAATTCCCCTCTCATGTACACACAGTAGCAACACTGCTTAAAAGACAGGAAACAGGAAAATTTAGGCTCTCAACCAAATAAATGTTTCTAAGAGCTTTAAAAGACAAAAAAGGACAGCCACTACTCACTTATCAATATGGTTAGGTTCCAGGACAATCGGTATTAGGAGAAAATAAAAGGTGATCATATCAGATCACAATGAAGGATGAGGACACATAACTGGAAGGTAAACCAGTGAGCCTACCCAAGCTGACATATAAACTTAACCATCATTATTTTTGCAAAGCACTTCAGTGTTTACTGAAACAGTGAAATAAACACTTCAGAGCTTACTGAACCGCATCAGTGTTACTTCAAAACAGAAGATGAATGAGAATGTATCTACACACAAAGGTCAAGAGAAGCCAAGCAACTATCATGCATTCTCTATGTCTGTCAAAAAACTCACTGCTTGACGAGGGAGAGAACCGGTTAAATGAGATATATGATAGGGTATTATGGTTATCACAAGAGTCCAGAATGAAGGTTGCCTAGTTGAGTGTACTTGGAGTGGGGGGCGGGTGGTGTTGGTGGTGGACTGTATACCAATGAAAGAATTTTTCTTTTACTTTTCAAAGAGAAGAGCAAACTTGGGGGGGAGGGGTGGGCAGGGAGAAAAGTACAACAATGAATGAATGAAAATCCAAAATCTCTATAAATGTTCATTAAAATTAATAAAAACTAAAATTAAAAAAAAAAAATCACTGCTTGAGTTGCACCCACGCACAGCTGGTTTTCTGAGACTGTAAATCCTACAGGAGGAGATTATCCATGTGTATTCATTACGGCCTTCAATATGGATTGAGACTCTATGTCAAGAAGACAAAGATTGTCACCACTGGACCAACTGGTAGCATCAGGATAGATGGTGAAGAGACTAAGATTGTTCACAGCTTTAGTCTGCTTGGCTCCACAATCAACAAACACTCTTGGCACCATCAGCCACGAAATTAAAAGACATATTGCGATTGGGAAAGTCTGCTGTTAGGAACCTCTCTAAAGTACGCAAGAGCAACGGTGTGTCTCTGGAGACTAAGGTGTGTCTGCTACAGGCCAAGGTCTTTGCAATCACTTGTTATGCATCAGAGAGCTGGACAATGACAAGGGAGGCTAGAAGGAGAATTGATGCTTTTGAGCTTTGGTGTTGGAGAAGAGTGCTGAGGGTGCCATGGACTGCTAAGAAAACAAACAGATTCATCCTGGAGAGGGTTAAACAGGGCTGCTCCTTGGAGGCAAGGATTCTGAGTCTTCGTCTGACATCCTTTGGTCATGTTGTAAGAAAGGACCAGTCCTTGGAGAAGGACAACATGCTTGGGAGGGTGGAGGGCAGGCGCAGGAGGGGAAGGCCCTCTGGGAGATGGATTGATGCGGTGACTGGGGCAATCGGGATGAGTGTGTCAGAGACAGTGAGATTGACACAGGACAGAGGAGAGTTTAGAGCTGTTGTACATAGGGTCGCTATGAGTTGCAAGCGACTCGACGGCACATAACAACAACAATATTCATTACAGGAGCTGGTGAGTTCAAACTGCTAAGGCAGCAGTTAGCAGTGCAACCCTAAGGATTGTGCCATCAGAGTTTCCCATTATGTCTGTAATTCTCTAAGATGCCTAAAATTTGCTTCAATGTAATTGGGACAAAAGAAGGAATGGCAGATTAAACAAGAATGGCTAGAATTTAATGGTTGTTATAGATGATACATGAGACTTTATGAAAATTCCCAGAATAAAAGATGTTTTTTTAAAAAAGCTAATTCAATATATACTCTAAAGGCAAATTAACTTAATACCGTATACTGAAATCATTAAACATCAACATAAGAAACACTAAAAGTTATAAAATATTGTCAAATATTTATATTTGTATATTCAATACATCAAAATGCATAACATGGCATAAAATCTACAATTATGTA